CATACACAATTGGATTGTAGGCTGCTTGGTACATTGGTTTCTTGAAGAAATCACTAACAAAATCTTCTGGATGAAGTTTTGCCTTGTTAATTGCAGAAACACCATGCTTGCAAGGAACACCAGTCATGTCCCATTTGCTACACCCACATGTGTGCACTTGCAGATTTACTGCATATGTGCTTTCTCCATTGCTAACCTGGTATAGATCAGGTCCTGCTTTGATTGACTGACAATATCTAGCATGGTGTTTTGCTTCTTCTAACTTCTCAGCATATGTTGGGCATATCTGCCACTTGGCTGTCTCAGTCTTGGTCCTATTGGCATTGAACTTAACTAGCAATTTTGTTCTGATGCCATCAACCATGGTTTTAATTGGTTTCCCTCTCACATCAAGTATCATTTTGTTGAACACTTCACTAATATTGTTAACAACCAAATCAGTTTTACAATTCTTGTCCATGGCATGTCTAGCCCATGTATGCTTGGGTATCTTTCTAAGCCATTTCCAAGCTGCCTCACACTCTCTTTTCATGCCTTCCATTGCTTGTTCAAAACCATGCTCAGTATATGAATAACTAGCCTGATCCATATACTTCTTTAACTCTTCACCTCTAAAGCCAGCTGTTTGAAAGTTATGATAAATATGTCTAAGGCGGTATCTTTGAGGGCAATTTGGGAAGACATTGTTTATGGCTTTAAGAAGGCCCTGTTTAAATAACTAGTGTTCAAAATATAGTATAACAACACACTATTTGACAGTACTAAGCATGGTAAAACTTCAGTAAAAATAAGAATTATGATGTATGAGGTACCTTTTGTCTATCAGATATGATAGTGTACTTGCCATACTTCCCTGACTCACCACCAAGAGCATACTTGAGCTGGGTTAGAAACCAGGACCAGCTGACAGTGTCCTCCTTGTCAACAATAGCAAATGCAATGGGAAAGATGTTGTTATTACCATCTCTTCCAGTTGCAGCCAATATTTGTTGCCCTGTTGTCAACTTAACAAAGCAACCATCAACACCTACAACCAAACATAACACATTAGCACCAAACATAAACAAAAGCAATGGCAAATATGTTGGGAAAATAATTATGCAAGTACCTATGAAGGGTCTGCAACCATTTAGGAAGCCCTCTTTGCAAGCATTGAGGCACATGAACAAGCCATGAAATCTAGGGTTTTTGCTAGGATGAAGCTTTAAATACTTTGTTGTCACAATGCATCTACTTCCAGGATTGGTATCCAGCACAACTTGGAGGTAATCCCTTATCCTAGTGTATTGTGCCCTCTGATCTCCTTGGACAACTTCCTTAGCTGCTTTCCTTGCCCTGTAGGCCATGTGAATGGACACTTCAATTCCATGTTTTCTTCTTCAAATTGTCAATTATTGCCTGGACTGGTGTGTTTATGTCAGACCTTAACTGTTGCTCACACTCATGTGCCAACCATCTTGCAGTGACTTTGGTGCTCTCTCCAACAGCAGGATAGTTGTGGTACAAGTTCATTTTCTTCATGCAAAATGTCTTCTCATGTGCAATTTTGGAAGTAGCAATGAAAAAAGGACAGTCATCTGTACTACAAACTACAATAACTCTATCTGAGCAATTCCTATGAAATGAGTAGTTCCTATTTTGTGAGATGTGAAATGTTAGGAGTGCCCTCCTGAACTGCTGGGCATCTAGGAAACAAAGTTGCTTGACAAATTGTTCTTGTGGGTTTTCCCTCTCCTCATCATATCAAACCCTAACTTTATTCTTTTTGGCCCTGCTCTTCCTACCATTTGGTAGCTTAAATGGTGGAAGCTGAGCACAATCATTCTCTTCCTGACTTAAGTCACCTGGGTTGCTCTCCTCATCAGATGAAGGTGCCCATTCTTGCTCTACGATTTGATCCAAACTTGCATGGGATCTTGTTGTTGGCCCCTTCCCCCTCCTCTTACTTCCTCCTGTGCTGCTGCTACCTCCTAAACTGCTTCCTCCTACACCGCTTCCCTCCTCTCAAGCCCTCATCTACTGGCTCCTCTTGTCCTTCCTCCTCATCTCTTCCTTCATTCTCCTCCTCCTCATCTGGTCCATATAGCTCTTCTACATCAGTGTCTCCTTCAAAGTGATGTAGTGGATCACCCCTATGCCTCTTCATTGCCTCCAACCTAGCCAATATGTCCTCATCTTCAAGATCTTCATCCTCACTTTCACTATCAGTGAACTCCTCAGCAAGCAGCTGTGGGAGTTTTCTTTTTGCTGCCTTGTACTTCTCTCTTTGTATCATATTACTCCCGTACCTCTGAATTTCTTCATTTCTTTTCTGCTCCATCATCTGCTCAATGTGCTCTTGCTCTTAGTCTATCTCCATGAAATACTCATGCCTCTCATTACCATTGTCCAAAGCAAACTCAGGTTCACTTGGGCCCTTTTGCTTCAACAAACAAGAGCTCTCCTGTGTGTTCATTACTTGGACTGGCTGTGGTTGGGGTTTCACTGGACTGGGGAAAAGAACTCCTGAATTGTCTACCTCATAGACAACTGGTACACCTATTTCTGACAAAGGAACCTGCTCTTCATAAGCATGACGAATGTTCAAATCAACTGGTCTAGGTGCATCACTTCTCATAACTATAATGTTAACAACATTCTTTCCTTTACTAGCTATGTCATCCAACATTTCTTCCACCTTGTCATCATCAGTTAATTCTTCCATTCCTAACACACCAACTCATGGATCTCTAACATAATACATAAAATCCCTTGAACTATAGCCTTCTACCTCTATTAGGGCAATGAGATTCCAGAAGGTTATGTCTGATAAACAGATTGTTCTTTGCAAGTTATCTCTGTCTAGGAAATGGAACCTCACTTCCCATTCTTCATCATCCAAGCTACAAATTCAGATAAAATGCATTTAACAGTGTTCACAATTATTGTTAAGAGGTCTCATTGGTGGCAACATAAATTCTGTTTAGAGTGTTAAAATCCAGTTAACAACATACAATTATCAATAAATTCAGTTAACAATTAACAGTGTTCACAATATTCAGTTAACAGAGTTAAAATTGTTGGCAACAGAAACTCAGTTAACAGTGTTAAAATCCACTTAACAGTCTTCAAAAAATTCAGTTAACAATATACAATGTTCAATAAATTTAGTACACAGTTAACAGTTTACTGAAAATTTAGTTAACAGCTAACACTAACCCTAATGCTAGAACCCTAACACTACAACCTTAGCCGTACTACAACTACCCAAGAACACCAACCATAGAACCCTAACACTACAACCCTAACCCTAGAATACCAACCGGGGAAATGACAAAGGAGGAGGAGGATGACTTACTCCACACCGCCGAAGGAGGAGGCAAAATGGTGGCTGCCCGTCGGATTGGCCTTCACCGCCTGGGCGAACGCAGTAGCCGCCGCGTATTCCAACGACTTCGGCGGCGACGGCGGTTGGGGAAGAGGCAGCGCGCTCGACGGATTGGAGCTCCCGCAGAACTCTGGTGGATCTCCAGCACCGCCGCCCGGAGCATCCCCACCGGTAGCAACTCCCCCGCCGCTAGGTTTCGTCGTCGCCATGGATTGGAGCTGGAGGGAGAGGACGGAGCAGATCTGGTCTGGTCGGGCGCCGTCGGTCGGTCGGTCCGGCTCGACAAGATGTACGCTCAAACGGCGCCGTCAGCGCGTCCGTTACGCCACGTCACGCATATTGGGCCCCCCATGTCGGAAACGCCCTCAACCGCGTGGAATTACATGTTCAGTGCAATCTGCAAAACTGTTACTGAATCCGCGGTGACTTTTGCAAATGATTAGCGACCACGTTGTTTTCTGCAAGATAAGCCCCAAATGTGGTGGTTTCTTGCAATTCACTCCATCTTCTACGTATGTTAATGTCCCCTGATGCAATCAAATATTCGAAGGCACACAAGTAGCAGTAATTCCTAGGGCACAACAGTTTGGAACATGCGAATTAACCCGCAACACTCTAGACATTCACTTTTGACACGAATGACGGATTTGATAAATCCGGCTACTAGAGGCTGGGACGATCAGCTACTCCGCAACTGCTTTCCTATACTTTGATGTGAACCAGATCTTGGCTGTAACGACTATGGTGGCTGATGTTGCGGTTGTAATAGCTATGGCAACTGCAAAGCTTGGTTGGAAGAACGGCGAAACCTGGTGGAGGGGTGAGATGGGAGTTGGCGGCGAGCTGGGTCGGTTGGATTGCGGATTGCGAGCGCCGCGGCTGTGCGAGTTTGATCCCCACTGTGGCGGAGCTGACAGATGCCTTACCTGACGTATGTATCTTTCGGATGCAGAGGCCGGGGTAATACCCCTTTTCTAAAAAAAAAAAGCTAGCAGTGCACCAGCAGCTCCAAATCGTATCTCATCACCGCTTTTAGTAAAGAAAGTGTAGTTTATTTTAAAGGCTAAAATCTAATTATAGTGTTCCTCCCTGCTTTTGGTGACTTTAGCTGATCATTAAAGCAAAGCTAAATTACCCTACATCATTTGGCTGCACGCGTATATGCTGCTGCTTCAAGCACTTTGCAAAGACAAGTTTTCCAAAGGTCCTCTTATAGTCGTCGTCTTGGTCCTACACACAACTATGGACAATATGAAAATTTTAAGCTTTTGTTAGTTAAATATTTGCGACCAATAAAGCCTTGGCGGGTGGGAAGTGGAATGGCAGGTGGCTAAAGTAGATGCCTTACCTGATCTGCAAGGAGATCCAAATCTTATCTTCTCACTGCTTTTGGTAAATTAAGCATGGAGTGCTCTCACTGGGATTGTAATTAGACATAAAGTAAATGTGTAGTTTATTTTTTAGTGGATTATACCAGACATGCGAGGAGTGGTAGAGTAGAAGCTCCGTGGTTATAGACTTATAGGTTGACGACCAGTGTATAAATAGGTGACATATATAGCTGCCCTCCGGATTACTCCCAATTCCCAAGTCCCAACCACTCCAATCCTCGACAAGGTTAACCGGAGTGCGGATGGAGGTGGCTGTCGGCGCGGCGAGCTCGCTCCTCGGCAAGTTGCTCACGAAGCTGTCTGAAGACCTGGTGGCCGCGTATGTCGACAGCCTTGAGCTCGGCCACAACTCCCACCAGATCAAAACTAAGCTGCTGCACACACAAGGGCTGCTGCAAGTGGCCGAGGGGAGGGACGTGAGCAACGTCACTGCCCTGCAGGCCTTGTTGGAGGAGCTGAGCAAGAAGGCCGATGAGGCCGAGGACTTGCTGGATGAGCTCCACTACTTCAAGATCCAGGACCAGCTCGACGGCACCAACTATGCGGCGCCGGATCTCGGCGATGGCCTCCGCGGCCATGCTCGCCATGGTCTCCATGCTGTTCGCCACACCATCGATAACTGTTTTCCATGCTTTTCTTGCCCTCGCACGCAAGATGATGGTTCTGCTCCTACTGCTGTTGCCAATAGCCCACACCACTATGCAACCAACTCTGCTACTGCTAGTGCTGATGATGGTGGCGATGTCGATAAGTTACATTTCGACAGAGTGGCCATGTCCAGCAAAACCAAGTCAGTGATAGAGGAAATACACTCCCTATGTGACCCCGTCTCTGATTTGCTCAGTAAAATTCCAAGCAGCAGCACAGTTGTCACCCTAAAACGGCCTCACATAGGGTCCACAATTATACAAGATACACTGCACGGGAGGAGAGACATTTTTGAGAAAATTGTCGATGATATCACAAGTGGCACACATCACGGTCAAACTATTTCTGTTCTTCCTATAGTTGGCCCAGGGGGTATTGGAAAGACAACTTTCACCCAACACCTGTATAATGATGGTAGGACTGAAGAGCACTTTGCTGTTATGGTTTGGGTGTGTGTATCAACTGATTTTGATGTGTTGAAGCTCACCCAACAGATCCTTAGCTGCATACCTGCAACTGAAAATGAAACTGCAGTTGAAACAACCAATCTAGACCGGCTTCAGAAATCCATTGCACAGAGACTTAAGACCAAAAGGTTCTTAATTGTCTTGGATGATATATGGAAATGCAATAGTGAGGACGAGTGGAAAACCCTGCTAGCCCCATTCACAAAGGGGGAAGCCAAAGGCAGCATGGTACTTGCCACAACTCGATTCCCAAAACTAGCAAGAATGATGAAAACAGTTGATCCAGTTGAACTGCAAGGCTTGGAGTCTAATGACTTCTTCACATTCTTTGAATCATGTATATTTGGTGAACATAAGCCTAAGGATTATGAAGATGAGTTAATTGGTATTGCAAGAGAAATTGCAAGTAAGTTAAAGGGCTCCCCTCTAGCAGCCAAAACAGTTGGTCGACTATTGAGGAAAAATCTTTCCCGAGAACATTGGAATGGAGTTCTTCACAATCATGAGTGGCGAAACCAGAAAAATGATAACGATATTATTCCATCTTTGAAAATTAGTTACGATCACCTACCTTTCTATCTACAAAAATGCTTCTCATATTGTGCCCTCTTTCCTGAAGATTATAGGTTTGGCAATTCAGAAATTAATCGTTTTGGGATTGCAATAGGCATCATAGACTCTAGCCACCCAAGCGATAAGAATTACATGGAAGGTCTAGTGGAAAATGGTTTTCTCATGAAAGGGGTTTCTAAATATCCTCCTTTTTGTAAATACTATGTAATGCATGATTTAATGCATGAGCTATCCCGGAGTGTCTCTGCACAAGAATGCCTCAATATAAGTGATTTAGATTTTAGAGCCGAGGCCATCCCACAATCTGTTCGGCACTTATCCATCACCATAGAGAATAGATATGATGAAAAATTTAGGGAAGAGATGGGTAAACTAAAGGGGAGGATAGACATTGTAAATCTACGGACACTGATGATTTTTAGACAATATGAAGAATCAATTGTTGAGATCTTAAAAGATACGTTTAAGGAAACAAATGGCCTGCGCATCCTATTTATAGCAGTGAAGTCCCTTGAATCTCTGCCACAAAGCTTTTCGAAACTTATCCACCTCCAGTTCCTCAAAATTGGATCACCCTATGGTAGAGAAATGACTTTACCTAGCACACTATCCAGATTTTATCACTTGAAATTCTTGGACCTAAGTAGTTGGTATGGTAGTTCTAATTTGCCCAAAGACATTAGCCGCCTCGTGAATTTATATGATTTCATTGCTAAGAAAGAACTCCACTCCAATGTTCCTGAGGTTGGAAAGATGAAGTATCTGCGGGAGCTGAAAGAATTCCATGTGAAGAAAGAAAGTGTTGGGTTTGATTTAAGAGAGTTGGGGGAATTGAGAGAGCTTGGGGGAGCACTCAGTATACATAATCTTGAAAACGTGGCAACCAAGGAAGAAGCTAGTAGCGCCAAATTGGTGTTGAAAAGTGATTTGAAAGAGTTGACATTAGTTTGGGGCAGAGAGCAACCGACTGATGTAGATGCTGATATTCTTGATTCTCTTCAACCACACTCTAACCTTACAGCACTTGGCATTATAAATCATGGTGGCACCACTTGTCCTGGTTGGCTGTATCCTGAGATAAGGGTAAACAATTTAGAGACTCTCCATTTACACGGCGTGTCTTGGGGAACTCTTCCACCTTTTGGGCTGCTACCATTTCTCAGGGAACTCAGCTTGAAGAGCATTTCTGGGCTGCGTCAGTTTGGTCCTGACTATGGTGGTGTTACAGGCAAATGTCTTTTGCAGTTGAAGAAAGTTGTGTTTCATGACTTGTCAGATCTTGTCAAGTGGGTTGTGGAACCTAATTGTCATATGTTTCCAGGCCTTGAAAGCATCGATTGCAGCAATTGTCCCAATCTATGCATGATGCCCTTCTCGGAGTGCTCTCGTACCAATTTGTGCAGGCTTCACATTGATGGTTGCCCCAAGTTGTGTCTGCCCCCCATGCCTCACACCTCCAGACTAACAGATTTTGTTGTTAAAAAAGGTTCAGAAAGGTTGTCTTATGATGGAAAAAACTAGTTCTTAGTAAGTATTCTGGTGCTTTGGCCTTCCACAACCTGGGTGAAGTTGACAGTCTCAGTATAGATTTATCTCATCTTACCGGGAAATTGCTGTCAAAAGTGTTCAATAGTTGCCCAACTCTTGTTCAATTGAAGATAATTTCTCCATATGAAGACCAGGAGGAACAGGTAATACACTTCCCATCATCCAGCTCACTGCGGACACTTGTCTTCTTGATATCGACGGGTCTGGTTCTTCTGCCTGCGGAGGATGGAGGAGGACTCCAGGACATGATGTCGCTCCAATCATTAACAATACGTGCATGCGGCAAGTTGTTCTCTCGGTGGCCCATGGGAGAAGTAGGAGGAGCTCCGATGACCAACCCTTTCCCTGCTTCCCTCAGGAAACTTGGTATTGACGGAGAGTCAAGCATGCGGTCAATGGATCTGCTCTCAAACCTCAGGTCTCTCACCCATCTAAGGCTAGTAGACTGCGAGGATTTAACAGTGGATGGGTTCAATCCTCTCATCACAGTCAACCTCAAGGAATTGGAGGTCTGGAATCGGAGCGGCAAGTCTCTAGCAGCTGATCTGCTCTCACAGGTGGCAAGGACCAAATTAATGCACGCGGGTTCCTTCCAATTGGAGAAACTGAACGTGGATAGCATCTCGGCAGTGCTTGTTGCTCCCATTTGCAGCCACCTCTCCCCTAGCCTCCACGAATTGCAATTCTATAAGGATGAGCGGGCAAAAGGCTTCACGGAAGAGCAAGAGAATGCGCTTCAGCTCCTCACCTCCCTCCAGACACTAGGATTTGTTGGTTGCAACGTTCTGCAGTCCCTCCCTCAAGGATTACATCGCTTTTCTTCTCTCAAAGAATTACAAGTCGTCAGTTGTCCTGAACTCGGATGGCTGCCAGAGCAGGGCTTCCCCACTTCGCTGCAACTTCTACGTCTATGGTTTGGCAGTGCAGAGCAAAAACAGCAAGCTGAGAAATTGAAAGAAACATACCCAGATTTACAAGTATATTGTAAATTTTAGCCCAAGGTAACACTTGTCACCTCCCTCTTCCTATATTTCTCTAAATGACGCTTCCCCATATTCGTGCTTATTTTGACTTGGAGTAAATTCTTACTGGCTTGCAGGCTCCACCATTGCACTGCATCTACACGCCAACCTGCAAGTTAGTAACGGAAACCCAACTTCAGCTCATTAACTTGTATGATTTCACTCACATTCCATTCATCTTCTGTGTCTGTATCTACACGTATATCTGCACTATAGTCAATTCTTATCCAGCTTCCCTTTTTCTAATCAGAGGTATTAAATTTCTTATGCAGGCGGCGTGGTAGCTTTTCTTTTGCGCTTACTTTTGTTCTGCTTTCATGTGCCAGCTGCATGGTAAATATGAAGACTAAGGTGGCACCGACATATTTTTATTTACCTGTTTAACATGATCTCATCAGGTAAGCAATTTGCTCGTCTGAATCTGCGATCTAGTTGCTCATGTATTGAAATTTTATGGCAATGCATTCTGCAATCTTCTTTCAGGACATAGGTCTCATAGCTAAAGAGTTCTTCTTTTATGGAATTACTAATCCAGTGTGCTTGCCAATTTTGACCAAAAAGTAAGTATCAAGTAGCACATATCTTCTCATTACGCTTCTACCGCTTCTTGCATATTGAGGCACCTACCTTTTGTTGTCAGGTATCAGAAAAATGAAGAAAACATAACTTTTTGCGGCATTACGAAGTGAAGGTGTAGTAGGAATGTAGGATCAACTGTATGCGCATTCTGAAGCTTATAATGGCATCATGTTCAGTGTCCAGGCTGCTGATACTTTGCCACGATAATTCGCAACAATCAATGATACGTATGTCCAGTGTTTCTGTATTTACACATACAGCCACCCTATAATTCTTATTATGCAACTTCCCTTTTTTTACGGAATGATAAAGAAATTTTAAGATGCTCCTAAACTATTATGTGCTGTTGTAGAGTGTTATGGCACTGCTAGAAGGAGGCTGCGAGAGTGCCGGCCGGGGGCCTTTTTGCCCATGGCCGGGCAAGAGGGAAGGGATTTCCTTCTTAATTCTTGCTTGATTAGATTGATACATCTCCTCTCTTTATATAAAGAGGTTTACTTGACTCCCAAGTAAGGCTTACTTGACCCCTAAGCAAGCGACCCTTATCTCTAATTAACCTTAAAACTAACGGGCCCAGGCCCATTACGTACTCTAACACTACACCCCACCTGGACATGCAGCTTGTCCTCGAGCTGCAGCCTAACCAACTTATAACCATGACTTGACGCAACACAAACCTAACACCTAAAAACAAGCCTTTTACATCTCGGCTTGGTTTATTACTCTCAACCTGAAATGGATTGGGACGCTTTATTTTGGACCCTGAACATAAAGTGGACACCATCCGCACGTCGGACGTGCACGTGTACAGCCACCTGGATCCCATGGAAACCATCTGGACAAAAAGAGTGTATGTGTATGGCCACCTGGAAGTGGTCGCAAGAGCGACCAGCAGAGGCGCCCTTGCGGCGGCCGGCGGCGGAATGCAGTGGTGCTACGTCGTGCGCTCTTGTCGGTGACACCATGCCTTCTCCCCGTCGGACGGCTGTTGGTTTGCACCGCACAGAGAAGAGTGGAGGGTTGTCGATGGAGAATGGCGAGGAGGGGTGCGCCCCCCAACCGCCGATGTCGCAGACTTTGAGGTCGCTGTCCGTGGGGAAAACAGCATGCCCAAGATCCCCGACGCAGCGGACGAGATCGAGGTCCTTTGCACAGCGAAGCGCAACTGGGACGAGCGGCAGCGGCAGACCACGCATCTCCCGCACACGCCGACGCGCTAGGAGGCCGTGCGCAGCAGCATGCAGCCTCACCGCCGCCGACATGTGGCGGGTAGTGCTCCAAGCCGGAAACGGTGATGGCGACGGCAGGAACTTGATCTGCTGGATGGGAACGCCCTGAAGAAGAGGTGATGGCGACGGCGGGAACTTGATCTGGTGGATCGGGACTCCTGCCGGCGCGGTCGATGCGGGGCTGGAGCTGATCGGCGGTGGCTGCTGCTGCAGCTGCAGCAGCTGCTGCGGCGGAGCGCCGGGCGCGGCGGAGGCTGCCACTGCAGCCAGGGCGGGGCGGTGGTGGCGGTGGATGGCAGTTGCAGCGGCCCGGCGAGCGCGACGGAGGCCGCCTGGTGCGACGGCTGCCATGGCAGCCACGGCGGCGCGGTGGCGGCTATGGGCGGCGCAGCCGGGTGCAGCCTGTAGGACCCGGCCAAGAACAGACGGATCTCCTGGACCGCTTGGGTTAGGTCCCGCAGCGCCCCGGACACCTCCTCTGAGGTGAGGACGGCGGGTGCGGGCGCGACGGAGGATCCCGACGCAGACAGGAGCGGGGCGATGGTCGTGGTTGTCGCTAGAGGCGACCAGGTGACCGGCAGCGGAAGAGACGGGTTGGGCGGCGGTGAAGACATGATCGAACCGAAGCTAACTGATACCAAATTGTTATGTCGCTGCTAGAAGGAGGGCGCGAGAGTGCCGGCCGGGGGCCTTTTTGCCCACAGTCGGGCAAGAGGGAAAGGATTTCCTTCTTAATTCTTGCTTGATTAGATTGACACATCTCCTCTCTTCATATAGAGAGGTTTACTTGACTCCCAAGCAAGGCTTACTTGACCCCTAAGCAAGCGACCCTTATCTCTAATTAACCCTAAGACTAACGGGCTCAGGCCCATTACGTACTCTAACATAGAGAAACTTTAAGACGCTCCTAAACTATCCTGGACTGTTCATTCCTTCTGATCCAGCAGTTTAGATTCAACATGGTGACTAGGAGGTAATAGATCACTCATAACTCTTAAATAGGCATCATTGGCTTTTACATTTGAATATTTAACATAGAAGGAAGCAATGCATTTGGAAAGTATCAATTGATGGTATGAAAGCATATTGCTACACGTTATGTAAGATATTTTCTACAACATATTAAGCCATACTAACTAATTTAATGTTTTCTGCTAGTGTGCAATACGATAATTATCAGTAACCTTTGTGTTACAGAAACATTGCAGCTTCTGTGCTTTGCTTTCTTGGAGCATTCAATTTGCTTATGCATTCATTGGCCGTCTTCATCTAAGTTACAGTGAAGCTTATGCACTCATTGCCTCCATTTCATCCTCTGGTATGTTCGATTATGTAAGCAGTTTTTAGATGATGACCATGCCTTTTACTTTATATGGTTTATTAGGTAGCAGAACTCCCTTATTGCTGGTTTAATGCAATGATGTTTGCTTAGCCTTTTCTGAATCCTTAATAATAAAACACATTTCTTACAATATCAGTGCATGGTGATTCTCTTTTCATTGACTTAATCTATCTGAGCTACAAGCAGGTTTATGTTCCGGCAAGTACTGATGCTGCGGTAACCAACTTCCATCTGGTGTGGATTTCATATAAGCTGACGTTTCACCGGCATCCATGACAGTTTTAGCCTTTTAGGTAATGATAATTAAGCATCCATATTTGCGAGTTCCCTTGTCATGTCCATTTTCTGACCATAAGTTCCTTATTCCCTGCAGAACGATTACAGCCAACAGTGAGTTTCGCAGTTGGCATTCAGGACATAGCTCCTCTGTCTGAATAATAAAAATAAATAAAACGTTTGGCCTGATATTCTGAGTGAGGCCGAGCCTTGGAGTCCTGCAGTGATCGTAAGGTTAGTAGGTCAATCTTCCTTTTCTGTTAGTTCTTTACTAATAAAGCTCAAAAGTGGTAAAATATCTCCACTTGTGTCCTGGAAGTCATGAGTTCAGGACAGCCTCTTTGCAGAAAGAAGCAAGGGAAAGCGGAAAAGCGAGGAAGTGTCATCCGTCAGAAGTGGTAAGGCTAACTCCATCACGCAACCCCATTTTGTCCGGCCCCGTTCAGTTGGGGTAAAAAAGACAAACGAGGCGGCCCAACGCGTGACGACCCGAACCCATCCGATCCGTTTTGTGTCCGGACCGAC